AATGCGGCAGGATTTCCAGTCGCGGCCGTGGCAGCGGGGATAGCAGCTCCGGAGGTGCGCGCCACTTGGAAAGCGGACCACGAGGCGGCCTCCCACTGTCGCAGGGCCTCGAGCATCGTTGATGTTGGCAGGTGACAGGTGAAGTCGGCCCCTGGGGGCCTCAAAGTCGGCGAAAAGATAACAAGCGACCCCGCGAGCGTGGAATAGGGACCGCCGCAAGCGGCGTGGCGTGGAGCGGTTGAGCGTCCCTCCGGGGGCCCCTCTGCGCCGGGGAGGCGTGTTGTTGGCGGCTAGGACGCAAGCGTCCGTCGCCGTTTTCAAACTCGGGGCCCACTCCGCTACGCTCCGACCCGAATTTGGAGGGCCATGAAATTTAAGGTGTTGCTGCGCAAAAGGGGTGGCGCGCGGGCGCGCGCGGCGGCGGGCGTCGAGCGCGGAGCGGCAAACACAATGACGTCGGAAAGCTCTGCATCAAGTATACAGTAGGCGCCAGGACGCGTGTGAGCACGTCGACGTCGAGCTCGAGCTGCTTGAGGGCGGAGAGATACGCCTGGGAGGGCGGTGAGGTGGCGGGGCTGGGCTGGGCGCGAGGCGAGAGGAAGGGGGAATGGGGAGGGGGGGAGGGGAGGAGGAGAGGGGAGGGGGAGGGGAGGAGGGGAGGAGGGAGGGGAGAGGAGAGGCGGGCGGAGTGAGGAGTGAGGGATGGGTCGGGAGGAGTGAGGCAGGGGAGTCGAGGCGGGAGGCGGGAGGGAAGGCGGGCGGGGAGGCGGGAGGGGAGAGGTTCCGCTCACCAGCCTCTCTGCGAGCACCGCCTGCTCCTGCGCCTCGCGCGCAATCACCCTCTCGTGCGCGACCGCCGTCTCAAACTTCTCGCGCGCCTGCGCCTCCAGGAGGGCCGCCGCCTGCTGCAGCTGCGTCGAGTGCTCCGCGCTCAGCTGCTGCAGCTGCGCTGAGTGCGCCTCCGCCGCCGCCGCCTGCTCCTCGACCTTTCCCTCCAGCTCGGACGCCGCGGTGGGAGCCGGCGGCGCGCCGTCGCAGCGCGCCGGGGCCGACGGCGAGAGCCTGTGGAGGAGCCTGTGGAGCAGTCGAGACTGCTGACCGCTCCTCCATGGTCCCCCGCCGGTGGACGCCGAGTGCAGGCATCGGTATGCGGGAGGCGTGCTCAAGGGCTGGCGGGGCGGACGCGACGACCTGGCGTTGCCGTCGCGGAGGGCTCGGGCTCGAGTGAGCGCCGCCGGCGACGCGTCGTTGCGGCCGTGGCCGCGCGAGCAACATGCATGCATGCGCGCGAGCGGCTTCCCCCCCAGTTGCTCCGTCCGAAAGCACGGATTCGGCGGACGTTCTTGGTTTACGCATGTTGGCACCAGCTGAAGGCTTGCCCGGGCGCCGTGTTGACCGCCGGACGAGAAGTTTGCGTCGCCGAACGAAAATCCCACGATATGCACGACTTTTAATTATATTTTTTTCGTGTGGGGGTATGTCATGTAGTTGCCAATGGTACCGCGTCTGCGACGCGGGCGCCTTGCGGGCAGAGCCCTTAGCCACCCTTATGTCTTGCGCGGTCAAAAATACGTGCCTCATGTCTTTCCGAGCTAGTATAGCGGCGCGGTGGGCGTGCGCGCGGTCGGTGTGGTGCGGTGTGTGTGTGCTGTGCCACCCCTGCGTCAACCTTCTTGTTGTTTACTTTTTTCCAGTTGTGGCCCTCTCTTACGAGTTACGTACATTTTTAGTTCCTCCGGCCGTCATGTGCGCGCGCGGCGAACCGCGGTTGTTTTTCTTTCGGTTTGGGTTTGCCCCGGGTGTCATTATTTTGGTTATTGCGTTGTCGCGCGGAAGCCGTCTCAAGACACCAACGCCTCCAGCTGCTGCCGCATCAGTTCCGTGGCGCTGTAGCGACGGCGCGCTCCACCTGCCCCTGCTGGCTTTCGCGCAGCACCACCGCTCGCCGCGGCACCCTCGCGCCATCGACCGCGTCCGCGTCGCAGTGACGCGACCTTCAGCTGGCGGCGCATGATCGTCGGCGCCGATGCGCCTCGCGCGGACGGCGGCGGCCGCACGTCACGGAAGTGACGCTTGATGAGGTAGCGTGCCCAGTCGACGCACTCGGAGACGAGCGGGAGGTTGAAAATCTCGCCGACGTAGTAGGTACGTTTGCGTCCCTGCAGGGCGTCCAACCGGCGGGGCACTTGGGAGGCGAGGTCGCTGCCGGCGAGGTGGGGGAAATAGTCGGGCCACTCTTGCTGCAGCAAGACGCCCCCAAAGCGGCCGCCGAGCGAGGAGACGGTCCGACGCAAGCACGCCTCCATCGTCCCGGGGGCGAGCGAGGCTCCGCCGTAAGCCCAAGTGATGGTGAGGTTGGACGCAGCGTACGGGCGAAAGAGAATGGTGGGGCAACCGCCGGTGGCCGCACCGGCGTCGACAGCGTCCCGCTCGCCCTGGTGCCCGCCGAGGTAGTAGACGGAGGCGGGCTTGACCCAGGGGATCTCGATGTGGCTGGCGAGCGTGTGGTAGTTGAGATGCCGCACCCGCGAAAACAGGTCCGCCTCCTCGGCCGACGTGTCGAGGAAGCTCCGCGCTGCCTTTAAGTCCGTCGCGACGACCAGCTTGTCGAAGGCGAGCGGCGCCCCGCCCGCTGCGGTGGTGATCGCGACGCCGCCGGTGCTCCGCAGCACGGAGGCGACGCGCGTCGAGCGCAGCACCGCGACGCCCGACTGCTCCAAGAGGCGCTCCAAGTGGCGCGTCGTGTCAAAGCCGCGCAGCGCAGGCCCTCGTGGGCCGAGAGACGGGAGCTTGGCCGCGTTGGTCGACTTTTGGGCAAACCTCTGCCAGTAGTAGTTTGGCGGGGCATCGGCCGCGCGCGCGACGCCGTAGCCGTGGGCCGAGACGTAGATGAGCGGCCAGGAGCTGTCCGCCCGCCCCCACGCCTCCTCGCCGAGGACCCTTGGCCTCGCCGCCGACGCCAGCTCGGGCTTGCTCGCAAAATCGACATGGTGCGGGTAGAAGCGGTGTGGCGGGCCAGTGCCTGAGAAGGCCTCCTTCCAGGACTCGGTGGCGCCATGGGAGAGCTCCGACGCGTGGAAGCGGCGCGGCGTGCCGCCCTGCAGCCTGCGGGGCAGCAGATTGTTGGCGTCGAGGATCTGCAGCTTGGTGCGCGAGTGGGCGAACGCGGACGTAGCGAAGCGGAGCGGCTTCTCGAGGATTTGGGCGCCGGTGAATGACGCCTCGCGCAGCGCGAAGGGCGTGCTGACGGCTCCTATCGGGAAGGAGAAGCCACCATGGTCAAAGGATCCGGCCTTCCCGCCGAGCCTTTGCGCAGACTCGATCACGGTGATGTTTCCGTAGCCGAGTGAGCGCAGCGCCAGCGCCGCGAATACCCCAGAGACGCCGCCGCCGATGACTGCGATGGGTGCTGAGCCTTCGGACGTGCGCCGGGCCTGTGCAAGCGCCTCGCCAGCCGGCGTCTGCAGCGACTGAGCCACGTCTGTCGGAGAGAAGCCGCCGCGGAGGGAGCTGCTGAGGCCGGGCTCGTCCACCGCTCTGGCGTGGGCGCTACAGGCGGCGAAGCGAGGCCGTAGTGGCGTGGTGGTGAGGGCTGGCATAATCCATCACCTTCGGAAGCTTGGTATTGGTGAATTCGAGGAAGTGGCCTTCGAAGGGAAAAAAAGGAGGAAGGGCTGTCAGAACTCGGCCCGTAAATCCCTGTGTGGTGCGGCGTTGCGTCCTCCCTCCCTCCCTTGTGTTTTGCGGCTTCTTTCTTTCTCTGTCTGCACACACACAGGGAGAGAGATGTGAGAGTCGTGATTTCTAGCAATACCAAACAAAACAACAAACAAAACAACAAGGCGCCAAATTACGTGTGAGTGTTAGAGTTGTTTGGTATTGCTAAAAATCTCTCTCTCCCAAACAACTCTAACACTCACGTTGTGTTTTGTGATTTCTGGTTGGGTTTTCAAAAATCTCTCTCTCAGCACTCAGGTGTGGGTGGGGAACCTATGCCTCCTTTGTTTCTTTATAGGCGTGTGCGTGTGCGTCTTCTCGTATTATCTTCGAGTAAGGCATTGCGTGGAGGCGGTGCGTATTCTCGTGTATTACTTGAGCACTTGTGACTTGAGCACTGGATAGGGTCGATTCCGCAGGGCAGGCACCCGAATTGGCGCATGGAGTTCCGTTCGGTGACGGCGGCCGAATTCCAGGCGGCGCGAGCCGCAGGAACGAGCGTTTGGGACATGTGACCGAGCCGTCACGGCTCACGTGGCGAGTCGACGCCGTGGCCGGTTGCGAGCCGAAACGCATTGCCATTGGCACTGCACAGGGCACACGGCCCGCACCCGCACTCTGTTAGGAAGGTACGCATGAAGAAAGTGGTACGTGCACGCCAGCCACTGGCATGGTGGTTGGCGGCGTGCGTCAGTGCGGTCACGCGACAGGCCGACACACGCCCGGCCTGCGCCGGCCAACACACGCCGTCACCGCACACCGAGTGACTGAGTGAATCCACTATAGAGTGACGCAGTGGCCAGTGCTATGTTATGAGCTTGGTGTACAGTAATCGTTCAACCTCATAACGCGGCTTTACAGTAATCGTTCAACCCTACTACATAGAGAGAGAATTGTTGGTTTTCAAAAAACCTCTCTCTCTCATACATACGCGCCGGACATGCCTACTTCTATTTCAACTTCTATTCCATAAGTAGTTACCTCAACACACACGGACACGCACTTGCGGCGAGGCGGCTCCCGTGCCTAGTGTAATAAATAAATAGAGCATCGGCTCCAGGAGAGATGGGCGACGCACGAACACAGTCACAGAAAAAACAGTGTCGTGACTAGTAAAAGAAAGAAAGAAAACAGACAACCCAAGGGAGGGATGGGAGGACGGCACGCCGCCACCACACAGGGATTTTAACTAGTAGAAAAAGAAAAGAAACAAAACAGACACGCCAAACGAGGGATGGGACGAGGACAGGGTCCCCACCTGCACGAGCAGGATTTTGGAAGGACGATCAGGGGGACAGGTGGGGCTCTCCTGCTCCTGACAAGGGACACGACAGGCTCGCAGCGCGGTGCGCGGTGGACTCCCAACTCCACTGGCGGTCTCATCTCAGTCTAGCGACCTGCCTCCAGCTTGTCGCTGGCAGTCTCTCGCACATGCACACTGACACAGGGGTGCAGGGGCGGCGGCACGAGTCTCCCACATACTATGCGGGCCTCACTAGAGGTGCGGCCTGTGCGTGTCCTCGCCCTTGAGGGGGGAGGGGAAGGGGCTGTGTGTCTGTGCATGTGTGTGTGTGTGTGTGTGTGTGTGTGTGTGTGTGTGTGTGTGTGTGTGTGTGTGTGTGTGTGTGTGTGTGTGTGTGTGTGTGTTTGTGTGCGTGTGGAGCCGCCCTGAACGCCACGAGCGCGCCGCGAGCGCCGTCGGCAGCGCTCGACCGCCACCCAAAAGTGGAGGTACATTAGGAGCCGCAGCCGGCCTGCTCTATCAGCCCCGCAGCCGCGGTGGCGCGACCGGACCGCGGTCGCTCCAGGCGCCTTTTGGCCCCGGTTCGAATTTTAACTAGTGTCGTGCGAGGGAATCGGCCTAAAAATTCTTTTCAAAACCAGATGGGTTCAGTCCTGGAGAGGGTGGGCGGCGCGACTCTCGCCAGGCCCTTCGTCGGAGCCTTCCATGGTGGCTCGCTCGCCGCGCAGCCTGACCGCCCGCTCGCTCTGCACACGGGCCATACTGACGGTGCGTGACCTCCTCGCGTCCAAGCGGAGCAGTGCAGTCAAGTTTGTCGCTGCCGACGCGCCGGTCGTGGTGGCTGCGCAGCAGCTCACCAACAACCGCGAGACGGCTCTGATCGTCAAGGATCCGAGCACTCGGCGCGTGGTGGGGCTCCTGACGCAGGGCGACATCGTGCGCTGCCTGGCCAGCCGGCTGACGGCCGAGAACATGTCGCTTCAAACGCTGCCGTCCGAGGCTGCGGTCGGGTGGGACGACGAGCCGGCGGACCCCGCGCTGGGGATGGTGAGCTGGGACGTGCCCGTCAGCTGCATCATGACCCCAACCGAGAAGATTGTCTACCTCACGCCCGGGGACACGATCGACGAGGCGCGCGACCTCCTCGCGACGTGCGGCAAGCGGCACATCCCGGTGCTGGACGGCTCGAGCTTCCTCGGGGTCATCTCTCCGATGACGGTGCTGCGCTGCCTGAGTCCGGCCGGCGGCCGCTCCGCCAAGGACGCCTTTGTCACGACGGTGATGCCTCGGCGCGGCGTCCCGCAGACGACGCAGATCGATCAGCCGGCCGAGGGGGAGGAGGCGCAGCAGCGGCTCGCAATCACGCCCGCCGTCTGCAACCTGCCCCACCCGCACAAGGGCACCGCGGGCGAGGACGCGTACCTGCTCGGCCCGCAGCTGGTCGGCGTGGCGGACGGGGTCGGCTCCTGGTGGGAGGGCGGCATCGACCCAGCCGTCTACGCGCAGGCGCCCACCCCTCGCCCCTCGCCTCGGCGAGCGAGACGAAGCACTGAGATGAAGCCCTCGCCACGCGGTCCCTCCCTTTGAGCCGCAGGCGCTGATGCACGCCTCGGCGGGCGAGTGCGCGGAGCGGGCGCGGAGCGGCGCCGAGCAGCGGCCGAGGAAGGTGCTCGAGGCGGCCTGGCGGGCGACGCGGAAGGCACGCGTGCTCGGCTCGGCTACCATCTGCCTAGGAAGTGTCTAGGAAGTGTCTAGGAAGTGTCTAGGCACGCGTGCTCGGCTCGGCTACCATCTGCCTGGTGGCGCTGCACCCGAGCAAGCCGGAGCTCATCGCGGCCAACATCGGCGACTCTGGCTTCTTGCTGCTGCGGCCCGCCCACACGGCGAGCCCGCGCCTCGGCACGCTCGGCGTGGCCGCGCAGGGCGCCGCCCCTTCGTCTCCGGAGGCGGACGGCCAGGCGCGCTACTCGGTCGCCTTCCGCTCGCCGCAGCAGTTGCGCAGCTTCAACGCGCCCTTCCAGCTCGGCCTCGCGCCAGACTCGCCAGAGGAGGGAGGCGCCGCCGCCGCCGCCGCGCCCGCTTCGCCCGCCGCCGCCGCCGCTCTCACGAGCGCCGCCTCTTGCCGCAGGCGACGACCGGTTCGAGACGCCGCAGGACGCGGCTCTGGTGCGGGTTCCGATCGAGGAGGGCGATGTCGTCGTGCTCGCAACGGACGGCCTCTTCGACAACGTGGGCGAGGAGGAGGTGATCGCAGTGGTCGAGGCGAGCGAGGGCGAGGGGGCGCAGCAGCTGGCGACGCGGCTCGCGCACCGCGCGCAGGAGCTCTCGCTCGACCGCGAGGTAGACTCCCCCTTCGCGGTCCTCGCAAAGGAGAACGACATCCTCTGGGGCGGAGGCCGGCCCGACGACATCACCGTCGTCGCCTTCCGCGTGGCGCAGCGCGGAGCCGCCGGCTCAACGGCGGTGCCTCTTGCCAGCGGCCCAGGCGCACTTCCCGAGTCGACGCGCCTCGGGCTGGAGTCGAGCGGAAGGGGAGACGCGGCCGCGAGAGAGGGCTGGGACATCGGCTTCACGGAGCGCGCGGCGGAGGCGAACTGGGATTAGAGATCAAGCCATTACTCAAGGCGAATGCTGTGGACGGGGGGACTGATTCCTTTGACTGTGAGAGCAGTGAGAGCGCATGTATGTGTCCATGTGAGTACGCATGGCAGGTGTGTTGGCTGTTGCATTTATGCATACCGGAGAGGTGCATGTGAGGATATCTGATATCTCAGTTTCTCACTCTCAGCCGTACATCGCATGCACGCCATGTGCGGACATGCGCACATGCACATGACACATGTGCATGTGCATGTGCATGTAGCTGTGTAGTATGTAGAGTTGTAGACCGTGTGTGTTTCCGTGGACCCCCCCGCACGACGCAACGGAGCACGACGTCTGCGGTCTGCGGAGACTCAGAGCGCGAGTCCCGCGAGAGGGCCGACGCGCTATAGCCCGACGCGCCGAACATAACATGGCGCCGATCGATCACATATGCACATGCCGCGCGACATGCAGCATCTCTCGACTGTAGACTCCGCGCTTTTCTTCTTTAGTTTTTCGCCACGCCCCTATTGCCTATACGGTACTCGTATACACGCCCCGGCCTGCAGCTGCAGCAGCTGCACGCGTCACATAGACATAGATAGTGACGGCCAGTGCGCGGGTTGCAGGCTGATCTCACACGCAGCGCTGCGGCGTGCTCCCCGCCGGCTGCCGCTCCGCCACGATGCACGAGTTGAGCGGCGTGAACCGGAAGGCGACAAGGCCGTCCTCTAGGTCCGCATAGTCGACTGGAAAATCGGCCAGGCCCTCGAAGAAGGAGGCGCGGCCGATGGCGCGGGTCGCCGCGTCGACGAGGCTCGCGCTGTCCTCCTGCGGTGCCGCTCGCGGTGATGGCGAGTCGCCGCCCACCCAAAAGTCGTCGAAAACCAACTTGACGCTGGAGCTTGACGCTGGAGCCATCCTCCCGGAAGCGGAGAGCCAGCCCTTGACAGGGCCGAGTGCGACGTGGACGTGCGACACGATGTTGCCGTCGGCAGTCAGGTCGTAGTGAGGCCGCACCCGCAGGCCTGCAAAACGCACCTTCTCGAAGTGCTCGATGCGTGCGACCCACAGCCCGGCCCAGCCCGCGGTGCTACCCGAGGCTGCCGCTGCGGCCGCCCTGGCATCGGGCGAGGCGGCCGCCGCCTCCACCAGCGGCCGGAGAGCACACGCGCCCTCGCCGCTGTCCCAGGCGCTCCGTATCGCCAGGAGCGGGGCTTGTGTTCGAGCGCTCGCAAACGCAGGCGGAAGTGAGCCGACGGCGCTCGCCACGCCGGCCCTGCAGAGGAGATGCGCAAACTCGCGGCGGCCAACTCGCTGTGTGGCGGGGCTCAGCGCAAAAGCGATGACTGGGAGGATTAGGCTCAGCATCGGGAGCCTCTGAGAATTAGGAGGCCCTGGGAGTGCCGCGCCGGAACGACGTTTTCTTTTTTAAGCATTCGAGACGGCCCGGGGGGGCGCTTCTCAGCTCCCCGGCCCTGGGCGTGAGGTTGCCAACTGCACTCCAAGTGCTCCAAGTTCATCGACGAGGCCAAAGGAGAGCTTATACCTTATTGAAACGCCCAAGGCTGTGGAGCTCACCGCGCTCCTCTCTCTTTCACCAGTCGCCCTGTCTCTTCTCTCTTCCTAGCACCCGCACCGGGAACGGGCGGGCGGGCGGCGCGGCGCGCTAGCGAGCGCTCACCACCCTCCCCACGGACCCCTACCACTGACAGACATGAAAAAGCCCCCGAGAGGCCAACGGCGCGCGCATCAGAAGAGGTCCTCTTTGGAGTCGAGCCTCTCGGAACACAGCTCGCCGTGCGTGTACCCGTGGCCGTACGCGGGTGCCGTCGCCTGCCGCGCCTCCTCCCACGCAGAAGTGGTCGCCGACTCCGCCCGCTGCTTCGCGAGCCACGCCGCCTGCGCCTTCTGCCGCACGCGCTGCGCCGGCGATACCGGCGGGGCGGCGTCTCGGAGGAGGGAGCGCTGGGTCTGCTGCGACAG